TCTAACCTACACACACACACACACACACACACACACACACACACACACACACACAGTAACAGATGTGTGCCTGCATGTACACATTCACCCACACAAAATATCAACGTTTTTATATAAGTAAAATTTAAGTTCTTTGATAATCCATATTCTAGTTTTCTTTTTAAAGATTTATCTTTAACTTGGGTATGTGAAAATTAAGTGCAGGTGCCCATGAAGGCCAGAGGAGTCTGATTTCCCTAAAACAGGAGTTACAGGCAGTTGTAAGCCATTATGTGGGTACTTGGAATTGAACTAGGATCTCTACAAGAGCAGCACCCACTCTGAACTGCTGAGCCATAGCTTCAGTCCCTGTTCTTCTGAAATGAGTCTTTAGTAGGTTCCATGCCTTTCCAAGCAACTTACATATCTTCTTTTTCCTGCTTTTTGTTGTTTTTTGTTTCACTATCTGGCCCTAGCTGACCTGGAACTCACTTTGCAGACAAGGCTGGCCTGACGTGCCGGACTCGGCCTCCTAGGGCTGGGAGGGACTGAGAGACAGAACAGGTAAGAGCCTCTGAGCCTGTGGAGCCCCGGCTTGGCCCTGGCGCCCACCAGGTAGCTGGCAAGGCTGGAGGCCAGTTTCTGGTGCCCACTGCCCATGGCCTCTGCGGGCACTGGACCCATGGTGCCCAGAGCCAAAAACAATCACACGCTAAAAAAGTTCCTTGAAAAGTGGGGTGGGGCTGGGGATGGCTCAGAGGTCAAGAGCACTGGCTGCTCTGCCAGAGGTCCCGAGTTCAACTCCCAGCCACCACAAGGTGGCTCACAACCATCTAGAGTGAGATCCTGGGCCCTCTTCTAGCCTGCAAGCAAACATGAAGGCAGAACGCTGTATTCATAATATAAATAAATAAATATTTTTAAAAAAGTGGAGTGGGAGGCTTTATTGATTCCTTTATATTTGGCTTATATCACAATCATGTGTTAGCAGAAAAAATAATACAGAGATTAGTGTTAAGTTTTATAAAAAATTTAGGCCTGAAACTGAAAAACTGGCCAGTGAGTAAACTTGCTCTTGCAGAGGACTCATTCGGTTCCCAGCACGCACATGGCAACTCTGTAACTTCAGTTCAGGGAATCTGACACCACTGGCATCAGGCACACACAGACAGGTAAATACCTAAAATAATAACATTTTAAATAAATCCTTTTTTTTTTTTTTTAAGTTTTAATCTTGGGTTTGTAGCAAACAGATCTGCCAATCATTTATGGCATACCAGTGAAAGGACTTTTCTAGTAGACCTAACTATCTGTCTTTAACCAAGCATAACATGTTAGTGAACTATCCCAAGATAAAATTTAACTACCAAACAGCCTGTCAGAGTTCTGATTTATGGTTTCTGTATCACTGTCTCTACACTCTAGCCACTTTAAAGCTATGTCTAAAATTGATCTTTTCTTTAAGTTTATCAGGAATTGTGATACCTATAAAGAAACATCCAATACTGCCAGGCAATGGTGGCACACGCCTTTAATCCCAGTACTCAGGAGGCAGAGGCAGGCAGATCTCTAAGTCCAAAGCTAGTCTGGTCTACAGAGAGGAATTCCTGGACAGCCAGGGCTACAGAGAAACCCTGTCTTGAAAAACTAACAAAATAAAAATAAAGGAAATATTAAAACTGTTGTCAATGGAAGACTACAAAAATACCCTTCACTTAAAATACAAGTATTTTTAACTCTGAGATCAAAATCATTAGGTCTACATACAACCTTCTAAAATTAGACACTTTCACTAACAGGAATTATATCAAAGCTTAAGATTCAGCCTGATTCTAAAATGCACCAGGATATATTACAAAATAACATTTGATAAAAAGTTAGGAGTCCTGATGTCTGGCTTGACGTGCCATTTGCTAAGTAAATAACACTGAGGAACACCAACTTCTGGAAGTCTATTTTCTCAGCCCACTATGGGGATAATAACCCAGTAGAACAGACAGTGTGAAAGCTTCGTGACTCTGCATGCACATCAAACAATGGAGTTATCATCAAATACATACTATAGTAACATTTGAGAATTCTTGATTTTTGGTTTCTTTTTTTTAAAAAACACACACACAGAAATATTAAGAACGTGCTTTCATTTTAATTCCAGGTATAAGGGTATGGGGCTACTTCGGACTGACCACAGCAGCTGACCATGGTTTTGGCAGCTACAGGTAACTTCTGAGCTTGTTTGGAATTCTGGGAACTTTTCAGAGGGTCCATAAATTCAAGGGCCCCCAAGAAGCAGGGTCGGTGGTTGTTGGTTGTTTAGGGAGGTTGTTTGCAGCTTAATAGTCATAAGCAAAGAAGAAACAAAAGGAAAGAAAATAGATTCAGGGATTTTCCTAATTCCTCTTTCCCCTCTACCCTTTCTCTCCTATCTAGTGTTAGTGGGTAAACTGGGGGGAGGGACAAAGGTAGATAAAGGGTGAGAAAAAGAAGCACCACAAAGCAGCAAAACAACATAGAAAGCATGTCCTCTGACAAGCAGTGTAAGTGGGAACTGTGTATGGGAAGCAGTTAACGCTGCGTGAGGATGATTGATGACTGAAGCTCTCCCACCATCTATCAGGACCTGAGATTGGGAACCAGCCCAATGTATGCCAAGGGAAGCTCAGGACACAAGGCTAACATCAGCCTATTGGCTGAGCTGGGCCAGATGAAACCAACAATAAAGTAATTCATTCCTCACTAGGAAAGTCTTCTACATTTTGAGTAGCCTGAACATCTCTGCAGTTCAAGAACAGACCTTACTGTAACTTAATTGTGGGTAGATTTATATATTACAGAATCTGCCCTATGACTATTAAATTTTACTCAAAAGTAAAAATAAAGCCTGCCCTCTTTAATCCAATTCCTACATAGCCTTCAACTTACTCCCATAACTGTTTTACAATAAGACTTTCCTTCCAACAATATTTTCTGGCTTAGCCAGTTGCAGTGGCAAATGCCTATAATCCTAGCATTCTGGGAGGCAGAGGCAGGCAGATTTCTCTGAGTTTGAGGCCAGTCTGGTCTAAGTGAGTCCAGGAGAGCCAAGGCTACACAGACAAACCCTGTCTCAAAAAGCAAACCAAACAGAATTCTGGCTTATAAACGTAGCGCTTGATAAAATGCTCTGCATCCTCAGCTTGAAGACCGTCTCTGCAGCGTAAAGAGCACACTCTGCTTTGCAGCACTGCGCCTCAGTGAGCGGCAGGGAGCTCGGCAAGCACTCTGCCTCTCAGTTACACTCCCAGTCTGAAAGGAGCTTCTTAAACACAAAGACAGTGTTTATTTTAGGGTAACATACATGCACAGACATATTGAAAACCCATTGGGCTGAAACTAAAGAAATCCAGGGCCCTGTGTTCAACCTCAGCAACAGTAAAGAAAAAATATTTACAATCAACTAATACTCTGTAACTTGTTAACCAACCAAGTCAGTCACTCAACCCTAACTAAATATTTAGACTTCTTTGCAGACCAAAGAAAGCACAGGACAAGACAAATATAAAACCCATAAATGCAACAGATCTGAGCATTAAAAACCCCAAAACTTTAATAAATACCAGTTACACACAGAACAACATACAGTGCCCAGTAATCATAGTTTAGCATGCACATAGTACACCCATCTCCAATCTCAAAACAAAACTTTTAGAGAAAGAAAAAAGTATACAATATTGTACTTTAACCCTTTTTTAACAAGTAGGAAGGATCAACACGTAACGAAATAGTAAATTCTTTAGAGACATTCAAGTCAGAATAGACATATGCAAACATCTACAAGGATGACTGTTAGAATATAGCCGTTATATTAAATGATCAGTGTGGTCAAATAAAAAGCCCAGGATTCTGACAGGTATGAAGAGAAAGGGGTTCAGGAGTCTAATAGGCCTCTGGACTTCAAGCTTGTAATCTACCTGAATAAATAATCGCAAATAAATAATGTCTTTCCCAACTTCTTTGTGCATTCATACTGACATATATATACACAGGAATAAACAAAAGACATCAAAGCCAATAAATCAGACTACACGTAAATCACTCAAAAGAAATCAATTCCTTAAGGAAAACAGCTGTAGCTATTTATGAGCTATGAAACTAAAAGGTTCATGAGAACTTATTAGTCACTTACCACACCACTGCACGACTTTGTTTTTACATCCAGCTTTACCAACCCAAAGCCTGAAAAAAATACCAGAGATATGATTCTTCTGCAGAAAAAATGCATACCATTATTCATGCCACAGCTAGCACAATTCCATGTCCAGAGGAACAAAACAGTACTATGTACAGTACCTGAATGAACATTTTAAAAGCAGTAAATTTTACAAGGCAGCAGCTCTGGGCCTAGCGTGTTGGCTCCACTTCCTGACACACCCTTTCTAAGAGATTTTTAAATGTTAGGTTAGAAAATCACTTCTTCCCCGGGAGTGGTGGTGTGCACCTGTAATCCCAGCAGGGGCAGCTGTATCTCCATGAGTTTGAGGCCAGCCTGGTCTACAAAGAGAGTTCAGCATAGCCAAGACTACACAGAGAAACCCTGTCTTGAAAAAAAAAATTAAAATTAAAAATAAAAGAAAGAAGGAAAATCACTTCCTCAGAATAGCCTATTGTTTAATGGCAATACATTTAGGACATTTATCCCAAACTGGTATCAACAAGAGTAGGGTACAGGCATGTTAGACACAATTTTCAAGAAAACTCAAATCTACTCACTCTAAAAATCCCACAACTCTTAGGGTCTCAACCCTACCAGGAGTCATACCCACAAAACTAAAATAGTAATTCAGAGCAGCTCTTTCAACCAGGGCCTGAGCTGCCACTAAAGAAAATAAAGTACAAGTTTTTCAATGGGAGGTGGAGGCACACGAATTTAATCCAATCAGTTGGGATGCAGAGGCAGATGGATCTGAACTCTAGGCCAACTTGGTCTACAGAGTGAGTTCCAGGACAGCCAGAGCTACACAGAGAAACCCTGTCTCAAAAAAAGAGCTTTCTCCTTATTAGAACTCAGAAAAGCTCAGAAATTGGGGTAACAGTGTAGCAGGCTACCATAAAATGCATCTGGCATTAATCCAAGATATTCAGTCTGGAGAAACAAAGACAATTTTCCAAAGAAATTCAAGCATACATTTTCTCTTCTAAGTTAAAATTAAAAGAAAAAAAAAAAAAATCCTTACCAAATCCTTTGTTGAAAATGTCTCTGGCAGCTTTGCCAAGGTCAGCATAGGATGGAGGGATACACATTGCTAGTAAAAGGAAACATTCTATGGTTAATGTGACTGTAATATTTACATCCACGCAGTCCAATGGGAGTTTTGTTTTTGAAGCCACTATAACTAATATAAAACTTACTCTAAGCAGCCATTCTTAACAAAAATTTCTTTCTAAATAGCTATGTGGCAGTATAAACCTGGGACATTTCCACCAGTTGTTTAAAGGTAGAGAGAAGCCTAACTCCTAAACTTAGTGTCTACAGCCTAAGAGGACTAGCACAAGCATACACACACTTGTTGGAACTCAAGGGGATTGGCCCATTTAACTGAGATTAAAACCAAAATCTGAGCTTAAGCACCTTTCCCCTAACAAGTCTCTTGGTACTTGGTTTTCCAAGAACAAAAACACTCAGGAGAGACGGAAACTTAACGCTCTGGGAACTGACATCTTGAGACATGGGGGGAAAATACAACCATCTACGTTTCAGTCAAGTGTCTGCCGAAACTAAATATCAAATGGCACTTTAAACACAATTCGGCTCCCAAGTGCAAGGGTGAGGCCTAAGGGCAAGGAATCTGAGCTCATTCATTCTACAAAGCACATCCGCGCCCTTAGGAACACGTGTAAAGACCTTGTAATGTACTCCATCTCTGCAGGCGGAGAACTACTTCCTTTTGCAAAGTGACTGATCTAATTCACCCCCAAGGTGGAATTCAACAACTAGTAGTTTGTTTTGCTTTCCGATTTGTAAAAGACACATCCAAAAGCAGAGGGTGGGTATGGCCAAGGACCAACGCCCCAGGCGCGAGCCCTCCATCTGCAACCCAACAGCCTCGCACCCTGTCCGTCAGCTGAGGTGGCGGTAAGCCCTACGGGCCCTCAAAGGGGCCAAACTGCCCAAGTCCTTGCAGGCGTGCGGGTCGGGGCGGGACCGGCTACGGTTTTCTTAAAAGGCACCGGGCAGCCCCGTCGCGCAGAAGTCTCTTGTGCTACTTACGCCGTGGGCATGTTCGTATACAACAGTCACAGTCCTCCATGGCGAAGCCGTGGGGAAAAGGTGATCTGTAGAGGGGACAAGAAGCGCGGTCAGGGGACAATCAAGGGCCCCGAGGGGATCTCGGACAGAGAAAAAAAGCAAGGGGCAGGAGACGGTGCGGCCATCTTGGGGCGCAGGGCAGCCCCGGGCCGCTCAGGCGGCCGGCCCGGCCTAGGGCCCCACGCTTGGCAGGAGGCGGCGCCACAGTACCTGCGGGTGTCCTGAGGGGCGCTGCCGCCAACACTCGGCTCGCCGCTGAGGCCACTCCGCTCTCGGGAGGTCGCGCTGCAGCCACCGCGGCTGGAGGGCGAAGTGAAGGAGACACCGTTGCGCCCCGCCGCAAACCTGGCCTCCCCCAGCCAGGCCCCCGCCGCGGCCGCCCGGGCTGTCCGCCGCGCCTGTCCTTGCCGCGCCGCCGCCCGCTGCCCACTCCCACCTGCTCCGGACTGGCGAAGCGGGTCGAGAGGACGGTGGTCGACCGGGGTGAGCTGTCTCGGGCCGTCCGACAGGGACGGGGCGAGCAGGAGCTCCGCGGCCTCAAGTCAGGCAATGTCCGGGGCAGCCCCAGAGGCCAGGGCCTGGGAACGGCGGAGGCGGTGCAACGGCACCCTCGCGGGCAGGAGAGGAGTGGCCACGTGAGTCACGACTGGGCAGGGCGGGGCGCTAGGCCCCGCGGGGTCACGCGCGCCCCTTCCAGCCGCTTCCGAGTGTCCCTGCCTGAAGCGCGCTGGGCGTCACCGGTGAAGTTGGGATGAGATACGCCGCGCCGTCTGCAGCCTCCGCGCCCTCCCTGCCTCGGGTTACAGCCCACCGCAGCGTCCTCCCCTGGTGGAGCTGGACTGGGCTCCAAAGGAACAAACTTGAGCCAGTCTCAGAGTCAGGGTTGTGCTCCTGCAGCCTCCTTCCCACCCGTGCTTGGGATGGCTTCACACACATGCAGAAACCGTGCGGTAGGAAGATAAGCTTCCCCTGGAAGGTAGACCCGGAAAGATAGGGGTAAGATTCGTGTTAGCCAGTCTTTACACTGCTGCTCTCAGCCCGCTCAGAGGTGCTTGCCTGTAATCCCAGCACGTGGGGTGGCAGAGGCAGGCAGATCTCTCTGTAACTCCGAGGCCAGCCTGGTCTAGAAAGCAAGTCCAGGGCAGCCAAGGCTTCACAGAGAAACTTGTCGGGGCAGAGGGAATATGCTGTTCTCAAGTTCTCTAGATGGCAAAGAGTGAGGGCACAGCCAGTCCTAGGGACCTATACCTGTAATCCCAGCTCTTGGAAGGCTGGGAGATTTCGACAAGTTTGAGGCTAAACCATAGCATGAGGAAAACGGGGGTGGAGGGGTGGGGCAATGTGCAAGCTAATAAAGATAGAAGAGGGGCCATGGAGGCGATGGTGAACACCTGTAATCCCATCACTCAGGGAGGCAGAGATGGGCCAGGTATACAAAGCAAGTCCGGAAACCCTGTCTTGAAAAGCCAAAAAGAAAAGAAAAGAAAAGGGGCCTGCCTAAGTGGACAAGAACTCTTGCTGTGCAAGTAAGAGGACCTGAGCTCAGATCCAGCATCCACATTGAAAACCAACCAGTAGTAACCCCAAAAATAAAAACAAGACGTCACTGGGGCTCACTGCCGACCTGACCCACAAACAGCATGCTCCAGGTTCTGTAACAGATTCTGTTTGAAGGGAGTAAGGTGAAAAGCAATAGAGACTCTATGAAATCTCTGGTCTTCTCTGGCATGAGCGTGCACACCTGTACACACATACACCACCCACACAGATTACAAATGGAGACAACTGAGGCTTCAACTCAGTAAACTCAAATAATGTCGCTGTGTACCTCCATTTCCTCGTAACCTTCAATTGCCGTACAGTTGGACTGAGCTAACACACCACACATAGGCACACAGTCACACTCAACTGTCTTCCTAACTCTACCTGTACTCAAGTAGTGTTAAGCTTTCTGTCTCCTCCTAAAGTAGGGCAAAGATGGCTAGATGGACTCCCCAATCTGAAAGCCAAATTTAAAGTTACACACTGGCTTGTTTCTCTCCCATGAGCAAAGTTAGCTAGCCACCTTGCCTGGCACAGCTGGGATTATGTTTACAAAGTTCAGTGGGAAGAGTCTTTGTGTGTAAGCAATCAGGCTCCAGCACCTGACTCGTTCCTTCTCTCAAGCTCAGGCAAGTTGGACCAGAACCATGGGAGATAACCTACCCTAGCTGTTCAAGGCTTTTTGGTGGAGGTTTGATGCTCATTGTGGAGTTTGGCCTCCCCATCCCAATTGTCTCACAACACCATCTGTCAGGAAATTTCAGTCTGCTAAATTAGTAACCTTAATTACCTAAAGCAGAGCTTATTCATATTATGAATTAACTGTAGCCATTTTTTTTTATCTCTAGAGACATCACTGTCTCTAACACAAGTCTGAGACTTTGCCCTGTAAAGTACAGGGCAGTGCTTAATGGCTGTGGGGACAGACACACACCTAAGCAAACAACTACAGCCATCACTTCCCCTTACCAGGCCCAAAGAGACTCATAGTCTGGGGTCAGTTGGTAAGGGAGGAGGGCTTCCCCTTTCTGAGGACTATGGGAAGGGGATAGAGGAAAAAGGGACAGAGGGTAGGGCTGGGAGATGACAGAGGGGGCTACAATTGGGATGTAAAGTGAATAAATTAATTAAAAAAATATTAAAAAAATTACAGGGGTGGAAAAGACCCCATCCCATCATAAGGACACCCCTGTATAAAAGGTTATCAAAAGAAACATAACTCATTTATTTGATCATGATTTCATATGACACCACAAGCCACCAAACTGAAAAGCCCAAACATTCAAGGTGAATTATAGATTTCTTTTTGAATTATTGATTTTTGTGCTTAGGTTGAATGAAGCTTGGACAGACATATAGGAATATAAATAAACAATAGAATAGAATGAGTTAGGATCCCACAGGTCTGTCCAGGTACCCCTTCCCCCAGCTATGGAGAAGAAACCTTTCTAATAGGAAGAGGTTTGTTGGTGTATTGCTGGGAATTGAACTAATGTTCAGACCAGCACTCTGCCACTGACCTATAACGCAATCCCCCTTTTAACGCTACAAACCAGGTCTCTCACTAGGTTGCCCAGGAAAGCTTTGAACATGCCATCTTCCTGCTTTAGCCACCGAGTAGCTGAGACAGTAGGCCTGCACCTACCAGCCCCACTTACATGGAGGTCTTGACCTGGGAAGATGGCTCCGTAAAGTCCTTGCTTTGTAGATGTTAGCATCAGGAGTTCAGTTCTCCAGAACCCGCATAAAAGCTGGGCAAAACATGGCAGTCCACCTGTGATCCCAGCACTTAAGAGGCAGACATGGGATTCCTGGGGCAAGAAGACTAGGTAACTAGGCAAGCTAGCTAGACTAGGTGAACTTGGCAAGCTCTGGATGCAGTGAGAGACCCTGCCTCACTAAATTAGAGACCCATCAAGGAAGACATGCATATGCTCACGTTTGCACATGTGCCCACAAGTAAAATATATGTTATCTAGCCATGCCCATCATAGCTGTCACCAAGGAGCCCTGGCTAGGGCTGGTAAAGGAATGAAAAGACAATCCCCCTTACAATGAACTGAGATCAGGTGGGGTTCTCTAATTGCTACCACTGTCACCGGAATCTCAGCATGTTTATCAGGTGCAGTACGGGGGCAGGGGTTAGCTAGTCTTGGTAGTAGGAGGAGAAAGCTGCAGTTGCTGGTTTTCACATTGATCAACCTTCCAGGAACATTCATTCCTCCTAAGGGAAACTTTGCCACTCTTGAGCCTGGTCCAAATGGGCAACAGCTTTGCCAACTGTCCCATCGGTTGGAGGCCTTGAGATTTCTTGACATGGCCATACCTATGTCAAAATACACATTCCCTCTGGATTTCATTCACTTGAAGCTCTGCTCCCTATACATTCCACAAATGCATAGATAACAAACACATGAAAGAAAGAAGGAAGGAAGAGAGAGAAAGGTCTTATGGTCAAGGTAGGTCAGAGAAAGTGTCTTTCTGACAAGATGAGTATCCTTAAGCTTTGAGGCTTTAGGAGCCGGGGGAAAGGATTCTACAGTTCTGTGACTTTCTTCAGATGAAAAAAATTCTAATCTCTTGGCTTGCCTTGGGTGGAGAACAAAGACAGGACAGGGTAAGTTCAAAGAAAAACTTTTTCAAGGCCTTCACTCTGAGCAGGATTCAGTAAATACATCTGAGAATTCAAATCCAAACTCCTTTAGAAGACCAAGCCCAGTGTGGTGGCACATGCCTGGAATCTTGGTACTTGGGAGAAGGAGGCAGGAAGGAGAATCAGGAGTCTGGGGTCATCCTCAGCTATCTAGGGAGTTTGATGCCATCTTGGGCTACCTAAGAACTTGTTTCAAGAAACAAAACTAAAAAATAAAATCCATGATATTGAAAATGAAAGAATCTGGTAGGGCAGATTGAAGCTGCAGTCTTATAGCTTCAGTCTTAGAGACCACACTGTGGTTCTGCCTTATTCAGTTTGGTAGACGTTAATTACTAAACTGAACAAGGCAGCACATACCTACCTATAATCCCAACATTTGGGAGGTGAGGCCAAAGGACCAAAAACCTCAAGACCAACCTAAATTACATAAACTCTTTTTTTTTTTTTCCATTCTTCTTTTTGAGACAGGTTTCTCTGTGTAGCTCTGGCTGTCCTGGAACTAGTTCTGTAGATCAGGCTGGCCTCAAACTTTCAAAGAACTGCCTGTCTCTGCCTCCCAAGTGCTGGGATTAAAGGAATGAGCTTTAGACATTTTTTTTTAAATCTATTTACTCAGACCTTATACCAAAGGGAGGGGAAATTAGGCTGCATCTTTTGAAAGAAGTATCAGTAAATATGTA